TAGCTTCGTTTTCACTAAAAGTAAAAAAGAGAAAGCCCAGCTTCTTATATGATCTCAAAGTCAACCCTTCTCTTCTGTTCCCAGTACTGTCACCCTGGTTCTGTCTGTTGATTTTCGTATTCATAGTCACGCAATATTGACTGAGCGCCACCTTCTTTCTCCCAGATGCGATAGTAAGAAATTTCATAGGATCTTTTGTTTAATCCTCATTCCAATTCCCTGACAAGGGTGGGGTTACACCCTCTTTACCTTCAGAAAGAGGAAGTGGCTTCACTTCTCTGTTTCCTCATCTATGTAATGTGGATGCTAACACCCCCCTTGTCAGGTGGTTGTGAGAAGTGAAGAAGTGAGAGGTACTACTGCGCATAGTAGGTGTGCAATAAACGGGAGCTATTTTTCTGGAAACAGTCCTTTCATGGTCAGTCCATTCATTCTGTTTTGGGCAATGATGATAATCGCGGTGAAAGTAACATTCATGCAACGTACACCACAGCCAGGACACGGTGCCAAGCGCTTCACACGCACTGTCTTGCCTGGTCCCTTCCCTTCAGGAGACTGGTGCCCCTGGTGTCCTGGTTTCGTTAGAGGAGGAAACTGAAGGCCAGAAACAAAGTCACTGGCCCACAGTCCTAACAGCCGTGCAGAGCAGAGCTGGGATGGGAGCAGCTCAGTGGGCTCCTGAGCCCACACTCCCCAGCACTGCCTCCCGCCACACCCTCATGAGTGACAGGCCACTGCATCCTTGGCCGTCTGAGTGCCGGGTGCCCAGGATCCCATCAAGATGCTGACTGGGGCAGGAAGGGAGGCTGGGGTGCATGGCAGCTCTGCGGACCTGCAGGACACGTGAATTTACACATACAAAGGAAGAACCCCAAAAGAGGCTCAGGAAGGGGTCCTGGTAGAAAGAGAGTAACTCTGGGAGACCATGCGATGTCGGATGGGCAATGGAGGGAGGGCGCGAAGCTCTAACATGCGAAGTCGATTTCGGATTGTGGTGGAACAGAGTCCAGAGACTCATCCGGGGGTAGAATTTCCTGGGCGGCGACTGTGAACGTTGGAGTGATTAACCCGAGTAATAACTGCCTTCCCTGCCCCCCCTGTTCCCCCCTGCCCCCCACGCCCAGTGTCCCTCATCTGAGTTCTTGCTCTGATACACACAGGTACCCATTCGAGTTGGCTCAACGGTAAGAAAGCAATGCCCGGCCCCCTGGGGGCTGGACAGGCACCCGAGACGTGGTGCATGATGTGGTTCAGGCTTCCCTAACCTCCTCCCTGTCTCGTTTTGCCTCTCTCTGCAGTGATCCGGGCCAGAGTGGTGGGGAAGAAGCTGGTGAAGGAGGGGCCCTATGGCACACTGATCTACACCATCAAGCAGATGAAGGTGAGTGACAGCAGCCCGGCTTCAGGAGGCTTTCTGGGTTGGTTCTGCCAGAAGAGGCCTGGCCCATGGGGGCAGGGTGGTGGGTGTTTGCTCAGTATCTGAGCCTGAGCCCCAGCCCCAGCCCCAGCCCTTCCGCCTGGCTGGAGAGGGTGTTGCTGAGGCAGCAGCAGGGGATGGGCGGAAAGGGGGGCGGGGACGGTGGCTGCTTCATCCCAGAGCCTGAGCAGGTGGGGTTCCTCTGAGTCTGGGCTTTGGATCCAGACATCAGACAGCCTCGTTACCTGGTAACCATGAGACCTCGGCCAGCTCCCTGGGAGCCGTCGCTGGGCCTCGGTCTCCCCATCTGTACAATGAGGGGGTTGGGCCAGACTGTCTCACGGCTCTTTCAAGCCCTGACTTTGCGTTTCAACCATGCCCACGGGTCTTCTGCAGCCACTGACGTTGCAACTGAGGTTTCTTCCTCAACGCTTTACATTGAGCTTGTGCTGGTCACAGAAACCTCATCGGGGGACAGGAACTCTACCCTCTGACCTATTTTCCCAGTTTTCCTTGTCTTCTTGCGCCCCAGCTAGTTAGCATCATTTGCTGGGCTTTTTCATACAGCTAAGCGTTGTCCCGAGCATGGTCCCACTGTGCGCACACTAAGGAGCCGCCTTAAGGAAAAGATTCAAAGCCTAGGGAACCTGCTTCCTGGGCTCAGTTCCACTCCTGAGGAGCTCGCTGACCTTGGAGCCCTCCCTCGCCCGGGCCTGGGTTTTGCCCTGTGTTAACAGCGTGGGGTGGGCTCCGCACCCCGAAGGGCCCTATGGCTGAGGCCTTTCCAGATGCTGGGACACTGGCCACGTTCCTTCTAAACAGGAGCTGCTTCAGGAGCTGGATAATGTGGCAGCTGGCCCATCAGCCACCTCTGTAAGCACCTCCCTGTGGGTAGCGCTGGAGGCCAGGAGCCGTGGAGGCCCCTGGGAAAGCAGGGCCCCTGCGTTTAGGAACCGCAGGCCGGCGGGGAGAGGAGACACAGGGTGACGAATCAGAAGTTCAAGATGGGTGCACTCAGGTCCCCGGGAACTGCCAGCCCCTTTACTCCCTGCTCACGTCTGCATCCCCAGCAGTGAGGGCGGGTGCACAGCCCCGGGAGGCACCTGTCCATCCCCGAGGCAGACCCGCGGGCCTCACTCTTAAGTGGGGGGTAGAACCTGCTGCTTTGATTTGGAAACATCCACAGCCTCCTGGTTATGTAATGTCCAGAGTCAGGCCTGGCCAGCTGCCCTTGGCTGCCCGAGCGCGGTCATGGGACCCGCTTATGTCTTCCGACGGCCAGAGAGAACAGTGGGCGGAGGGGGGACCGAGAAGAGCAACAACAACCCAGAAACCCACTGCGCAGCTCCAGGCAGGTCAGACAGGGCGGAGGCTTAGGAACACACCCCCTGCCCGCCCTGCCGCCTTCCTGCACACGGAGACTCTCTGTGCCAGGGGAGGGTGGGAGGCCGTGGCTCCTAGGTTTGCCCGGCTCCCCTCCTTCCTTCAGGGCCCGGATGCACGGCCAGGGGCCCTTCCTCTGGGCAGATGTCCTATTTCTCCTCTGGGGTGTCAGACCAGCCACTGGGGGGGAGGTGTTTGGAGGCCAAATAACATTTGCTCGCCCATCAGCTTCAGAGCCACCCACCCCACTCCCAGGACGCTGGTCCTCTGCGGTCCATGCGCCAGCCTCCGCCCAGGCTCCTAACCAGGTGCTGGGCATTAGGGCACCACGTGGCTCCTTTACTTCTGAGGGACCCGAAGGGAAATGATTTACTCAGGGGCGGGCGTTAATGAAAAGCAGCTCCGGTCCCCTCGCCGAGGTGTCGGATTCTTTCCCAGTCCGTGTGTTCTTTACATGACCCCCCAACTCTCCTGCCAGAGAGATGGATCAGCAGCAGGGTGCATCATTGCCGCCCATTCTGCCCCGCCCCCCCATTTGTATCTATCCCCCCAGGGAACAGAGAGGTTCACTGGAGTTTGTGGGTTTGCCGTGCAGCAGTGTAACTCTTGACTTGCAACATCCTGCAAAGAGTGTAACAAAAACATCTTTGTAGGAGGGAAGGGGGAGAGGCCGGGAGGCCCGCCTGCATGGGCTTTGGCAGGAGTCCCTGGGCGCTTTATTCTAGCAGATTAGCATCTACCCAGAGATTGGGGGAGCAAGGGCTCCCTTAAAGCAGGCCTACGGGAACTTGGAGAACCTGAAAAGTCAAGTCACCCTATTTATTGGGCCTCTCTCTTCATTCTCAAAGTCCCCCCTGGCCATCCCCCCCTACTCTTCCCCCCCACCCCCGCAAATAAAACCCCTCTCACCCAGATGAAAGACAGGCAGACCCTCTCCCATATGCTCACTCCAGAGCCTCTGGATGGCATCTGGGACACATCTCCAGTGTGCAGAGACCCACGGTGCATGGTGGTGATGGGGGTGGGGGTGCTGTTGGAATGTTGAGGGAGCTCATTGCAAACCCAAACTTGGAGATTAGGGGGAGCTGAGCCACGGGGCTGCGGTGCAAAGGTGGAAGTTTCCAGAAGTGGCCGCTGTAATCTATGGGGACCGCCTCTCCTATCAGGACCATGGGAAAGCAGTCTGCTTTGCCAGGGGCTGCCGCTGGTGCTGTAGAGACATGCTCTCAGGCCAGCTGCAGGGCCAGCACGTGGGGACAGTATGTCCCAGCGTGTCCCATGGGGAAGCTGTGCAGGTCCTGACTCTGGCAGGATAGACAGACAGATCCGCTGGGCAACTGGAATGCTTGGACCCCGGGGGCTTCCTTCCTTTGGCGGTTTGTCTGATGGGATGAGCAATAGCAGGGTCTCCCTTTGAAGCTCCTGCTCCAGCCTCTGACACCCCCTCCCCAGAACACAGCGTCCCTTCCTCCCTCTGCCTGGGACTCTTTGTGGTCTGGGTCCCATTAGCCGTGTGCAGGGACCGGCTCCACTCTCAGGCTCTGCCTCCCCAGCCAGACAGCAGTCTGTGAGAGGAAGGCCATGCGCCTGGTCCCAGTCGGGCACTAGCTGCTTGGTCTGTAAATGAACTTGCGTGCAGCACAGTGGTCTTCCGTGGGCACCAGAGAAATACTGATAGATGCCCTCAGACTCAGAAACATCTTCCTCACACTGTGTCCCTTCACTCCAAGGGAAGCGAACTTCTTGCAACCTTGTGTAGACACTACCGAGGTGGGAGCCCAGGACCTTGTAGAATCTCACACACACACACACACACACACACACACACACACACACACACGCACAATGGAATAGCATTCAGCTTTTAAAAAGGACATCTTGTCCCTTGTAACAACAGGATGAACCTGGAAGGCATGCTAAGTCAAATAAGACAGACAAAGAAAGAAACACTGCACGGTCTCACTCTGATGTGGAATCAAAAAAAGTCAAACTCTTCGAGGCAGAGAGTAGAATGGTGGTCACTGGTGGCTGGGAGGTGGGGGAAATGGGTACAAAGTTTCAGCTTTGCAGGATGAAAGGATGCTGGGGAGCTGAGGCCCGGCATGGGGACTCTGGCTACCAGTGCGGGTTGTATACTGTGGGTTTGCTGAGAGCAGAACTTCAGTGCTGTCTCACACACAGAAGGAACGCTAGGAGGGGATGGATGTGCTAACTAGCGGGATTGTGGCCATCACTTCACCAGGTACACATCTATCAACACAGCACATTGTACACCTTAAATACACACCCTTTCTATTTGTCAATGATGCCTCAGTAAAGCTGGGGGAGAGAAGGAACAACTCGCTTACACCTGAAGTTCCACGCTAGCTCTATGGGCACGAAGAGAGGAGGTTGGGCAAAGACACGTGGGAAAGGGACCAAACCCTTTCCCCACTCCCTGTGAATTGTAGTATACCTGGTTTTAAGCGACTTCTACTGAATGTTGTGTACTGGGTGCTATTCTAAGTCACTTAATTCTCAACAGCATCTTGTGGAGTAAGTGAGCTGCCCCATTTCACAGATGAAGAAACCGAGTCGCTGTCCACGTGGCTCACACAAGGCAGAGACAAGACTCTGTCTCCAGAAACCCAGGTTTACCATTAATCCTCCACTGCACTGGCTAGATTAGGTTACCTTTAGCATCCTTTTCAGTTCCGATCCTCCAATTCTCAGACTTCAGGACATGATAAGCCTATTGTAACCCTCCTAAATTTGTCAAGCCAATTCTGGGTCTCTACAACTGCAGACCTAAGGACCCTTTAGGATCAATATGTAGGTCAAGATAGGACTAATATAAAGAAAAGACAACAGAAGGAGTAAAATACGCCGCTACGATACATTTACCATATTGTTATCTTCAGAACGGACCCCACCAGGCAGCACTGAGCTTGTCAGATGCGATCACTCGGGACACATTACAGTCTGACTGCGTGCCGGTGCGAGAGCCGTGTTAACATAAGGCTCCTGCAAATTCAAGATCAGCGGCGAAGCCAGGCTGGGTTTGACGGGTCCAGCTCTTCCTGAGCAGCGAAGTCAGGGGACTCTAAGCAGGGGCCAGTTCTCACCACAAAGCAGAGAGGAGATGAAGGGGGAAGACCCACAGGGAATGAACTGAGGCTCCAATGGACGAGGCCTGAAAGACAGACCTAGAGCGAGGCCTGGGTTGAAAGACTGGCCCAACACTCAGGGGTCCTCCACCCCAAAGCGAGAAGGCGCTGGGCACAGAAGGCCACCCTGGGTGGAGGCACACAGCGGCACTCCTGAGCACGGTTCCCGGTGAAGCCGGAGAGGCGCCACCTAGCACTGAGGAAGTGGGGGGCCCTGCTCCCCACGGCATAACCGAACACTGCCCACGGACAGCACTTCGCGCAGCGCCTGGCGGTGTCTCCCCCAGCAGCTGTCTCAGGAGGAGAGGGTTAGGAAGGGAGGCCAGGTGAATGAGAACCATCTGCACTGCTGGCTGCACACAATCACCAGAGTGCTCCCCTCCCGAAGGCAGGGCTCCCAAGCTCCGTCCCCCCCCACAGACCCCTTCTGACGGCAGAGCTCCTAGTGACCACCTACCCCTCCGGCTGCTCGCCACTTAAAAGAAGACAAGGAGGGAAAACAAATAGCCCATCAGACCAAACGGGAGGCCCTTGGGTGAGACACCAATGAGATGAGGTCTGGCTTTTTATTAATTCCCACCAGTAAGTGAATAACGCATGCCAGGCGCCCCTGGAGAGGCTCTGTCCTACTGCAAACCCTTGGGATCCGCCCGGAGACCACCAGCACCCAGGGCCTGTGTGTTCTGAGCACTGGAGGGATCGTGGGACGGGGCAGCCCCTCGGTGCCCATCCCACCCCCAGCAGCTCCCAGGCAGAGTTCAGTGACAGATCCGGACCCACGTAACCCTCGTGGGCTTGACCTGGAGGCACCGAGGGGATTCAGTCTCTCACATTCACACCAGTGGCTGAGCGCACGCTGACAGAGCAGGCGCAGTGGTCACCAGGCAGTTCCCTGCACCAGTTCCCTGAGCATGAACTTGTGAGTGGGCACAGGGGTAGGCCCATAGGATAATGGCTAAGAGCATGGACTCTGGAGCACAGTCCCCTGCTTGGACCCCTACCTCTGCCATCTACCAACTGTGTGGCCTCAGACAAGCCATGAACCTCCCTGGGCCTCAGGCTCCTCATCTATAAAATGGACATAACAGTGCCTGCCTCATAGGACTGTCATGGGTTTAAGTGGGTTGGGATTAGAGGAGAATTTCTCAGCCTTGGTACTGTTGACATCTGGGGCCAGGATAACTCTTTGCTGGGGCGGGGGGGAGCTGTCTCGTAGATCATAGGATATTTAGCAACATCCCTGGCTCCATCCACCAAAAGCAACCCCTCCACCTGGCTGCAGCAAGCAAAAATGTCTCCGGACATTGCCAAGTATCTCCTGGGCTGGGGATCACATCGCCTGCAGTTGGGAACTACTGTATTAGATTATGTTGTAGACAAAAATGCCCAAATATCAGCCGTTTGACCATGATAGAGGGTTTAGTTAAACACCTAGGAGCTGTGTGCATGCTTTTGTGCTCTATCTCGGGTGAAAGAACCAGTGCTCTCAGTCGACGGTCAGAGGAATAAAAGCATGGTGAACCTTGGGCTTGAGTTCAACTTTCCCCAAACAGAATTTCTCTGAGCTCCCCCTGCCCCTAAAAGCATGGTGAACCTTGGGCTTGAGTTCAACTTTCGCCAAACAGAATTTCTCTGAGTCCCCCCACACCCCCTATCTGTAAAATGGGTACAGGAGTACCTGCCTCCTAAGGTTCCTGGGAGGAGACAGTGAGGGAATGTAAGTGAGAATGTGAGCTTTCATACACTGGGCATGTCACCAAGACGTCAAGAGAATGCTGGCTGGCTGCCTTCTCGGAGCTCAGGCCCTGAGGTTGGGGAGGCAGGGAAGACCCCTTTCACAGCAAAGCCATCTGTGGATTTCTAGAAAGGGGTGTCCCTGGAGGAGCATTTGTGGGGGGTTGGAATGGGAAGTGTGACAGGCTGGACGGGAAGGCTTCTCTGGGCAGCCGCCAATGCCGGCTCAGTCGGGAGGAGACGAGGTGGCCTCATCTGGAGCGAAGGACCTGGGGTGGGTGGGTTGGTGACCGGTCTCGCGAAGACCAGTCGGGGGAATCGGATTCCTGTAGACCAGTGGTTCTCAACCTTCTGGCCCTTTACAGTTCCTCATGTTGTGACCCAATCATAAAATTATTTTCGTTGCTACTTCATAACTGTAATGTTGCTACTGTTATGAATCGTAATGTAAATATCTGATATGCAGGATGGTCTTAGGCGACCACTGTGAAAGGGTCGTTTGACCGCCAAAAGGGGTCGCGACCCACAGGTTGAGAACCGCTGCTGTAGTCCACGTAACAGCGGGCTCCGGAGCCCGGGTCCTCCTCTCACAACCTTCCTCCCGCCCACAGATGTACCGGGGTTTCACAAAGATGCCCCACGTGCAGTACATCCACACGGAAGCTTCCGAGAGTCTCTGTGGCGTGAAGCTGGAGGTCAACAAGTACCAGTACCTGCTGACAGGTAACGGCCAACTTAGCAGCTGGGCCGGGGTTTGGCCAAGGCCCACGGGTCCTTCACTTCAGAAGGACGGAGGAGGAGTGGCTGACCAGAAGGGTCTTGAGGACCTCTGCCTGCGCCCAGTGAATTGTGGGGAGTGTGTAGGGTTGAGGGCACCTCCCACAGCCCGTGGGGGGACCCTGAGGCTGCTGCACCCAGGCTGGCTTTGTCTCAGCTCCACCCCAGACCCCGTGGAGGAGATCCCCTGGTTTTGGTGTCTCCGCGCTGCTGTAAATGAAAAGGGGTCGCCAGTCCCCGCTCCTCTCTACCTCACAGTCAGCCTACGATCTGTCTTTGAAACTCACCCCCACTCCCTTTAGGCCGTCAGTGTAGGAAAGGAAATGACAAAACCAGAGCCCGAAGCCGCTGATGTGGGAAGTGAAGAGCTGGCCCCTAGAACCAGCTCCATGGTCTGAGTGACCTCTCTGAGTTGGTTTTCCCCATCGGGACAATGGGGACTCAGTCCATCCTCAAAGGTGTAGGGGGGGATGAAATAACACATCTCAGGACAGAAGGGTACTGAGCACAGTACCTGGTCCATCGTTGGGACTCAGGAGGTGTGGCTTCTTCCCTTTCTGCTGGGCTCCCCCAAAACAACTCTGTCTCTGCCGCCCTCTCTCCTCCTCCAGGCCGGATCTTCGATGGGAAGGTGTACATAGGACTGTGCAACTTTGTGGAGCGGTGGGACCAGCTCACCATCTCCCAGCGCAAGGGGCTGAACTATCGGTATCACCTGGGTTGTAACTGCAAGGTAAGCCCCGGGACAGGCAGGCGGGGGGCAGGAGAGGGGTGCTGGCTCGAAGCCCCAGAAACACCAGCTCCTGCTGCACTGGGTGCTGGGCTCTGTTGCGGGGAAGGGAGTGAGGAGGGACCGGGGCAGAGGAGCAGGTCTGAGCAGGGGTGGAAGGAATGCTGTCCCCAGGCCGAGGAGCGGAGAAGGCGAGAGCAGAGTGCCTTCTTGCTGCAATCCGCTGCCTCCGTCCATCTGTGCTGCCCCCTTGGCAGTTGCTGGGGCACAAGGGCCCTTCAGCTTCCCTGGCCCCTCCCTCGGCTCACGTTGGTGGCAGGTACAGGGTCCTTACACTGGCAGGTCCTGCCAAGTGGTGCCAAGTGGGCTCACTCGAGCAGCTGACTCATTGGCGGCTCCACCCTGTGGGGGGGGGGAGGAGAGCTGGGTTGCTGATGCCACACACGACAGAACATGACTCTTGAGCCAGGCCCAACTCCTTGACCCGGGCACAGGGACAAGGCGCACAGCCTTCCTGCTGTGGGAGGGAGTTGGGCTGTTCTCTCATGTGACTCTCAAAACAACTCTGCAGTTTTTATTACTATCCTCCCCATTTTGCAGATGAGGAACTAGAGGATCCGAGACCCTAAGTAACTCTCCCTAAGTCACACAGCTCGCTACGTCTGATGACCAGCCTAGGGCAGCTGGACTCCTAAAGTTTATGCTTTAATCCGCTTCCTCAGTTCCCTACAAGAACTGAGATCGCCCATCCTGGCTTGTTACCACTGGAGAGGGAGAAGCTCTCTCAAATGTCTAATGCTACCACTTTCTGGCTGTGTGACCTGGCTGTGCCATTCAGTTGCTTAACCTCTCTGAGCCTCTATTTCCATATTTGTAAAAGGGAGAGACAGCTGTTATCAGAATGAAAGAGAAGAGCATAGCACAGCCTTTAGCAGAATGTCTGGCGCACAGTAGGTGCTCAGTAAGAGTTAGCCAGTAGTACGTTGTTTTCACCAAGGGACTGCGGTGGCTGGGGTCTCCCTGCCGTGGTCCCAGGTTCTGAGGAGTCCTGCCTTGGGCCGGCATCAGGCCTGCGTCCGCCATGGCCGAGTCTGCTAACCACCAAGGGACTGCGGTGGCTGGGGTCCCCCTGCCGTGGTCCCAGGTTCTGAGGAGTCCAGCCTTGGGCGGGCATCAGGCCTGCGTCCGCCATGGCAGAGTCTGCTAACCGATGGCTGTTACCTAATTGCAGATCAAGACCTGCTACTACCCGCCTTGCTTCGTCAGCTCCAAGAACGAGTGTGTCTGGACCGACATGGCCGCGAGTTTCGGCTACCCTGGCCACCAGACCAAACACTACGCCTGCATCCGGCAGAAGGGTGGCTCCTGCAGCTGGTACCGAGGATGGGCCCCCCCAGACAAAACCATCATCAATGCCACAGACCCCTGAGCGCCAGGCCCCGCCCCGCCTCACCACCCTCCCTTCCCGCTGAGCTTCCCTCGGACACTAACTCTTCCCAAATGGTGACAATGAAATTAGTGCCTGTTTTTCTCGCAAATTTAGCACTTCGAACACTTAAAGCAAAGTCTGTGCTGTCATATGGAGTTTATTCGGAAACATCCTCCTGGCCCCACCCCACGCCTTCTTTTTGGTTTTGACATCCCCCGTTTCCACCCAGGAATTTTTGGTGCCATGCCAGAGAGAATGAGGAATGTACACTCCTCCTCTTCGTGATAACATAATCTATATTTTTTTAGGAAAACAAAAATCAAAAAACTACCCTACGTGGGCACTGTAATGCCTACCCCGCTTTCTTCCTCACCTCCATCCCCCCCACCCCCCTACCCACCCAGCATCTCCTAGACCCTCCTCCCTCTGCCCTTCTCCTCCATCCCAGCCCAGAAAGGACACAGACAAGGTCGCTGCTGAAAGCCAACTGTTTGAGGATCAGTCAAGGGTAGCAACCAGCTAGACTCAAGGTATGCGGAAGGTCTTATACACGGAGGGATGCTACTGCATGTTCCAACCAGACTATGTCTGTCTGTGTGTCTCTCATGTAAGAGGCGCAGGGGGCAGGGAGGAACCGCGAGAGAGGGTCTGAGAGAATGCAGCACACACAATCCCCCCCAGTCCCGTGATGCTCGGGTAGACCAGATGTCTCTGAGTCTGGAGCAAACAGCCAGGCTGCAATAACAGAACTTTCTTAGTCCGGTGAAGACTTAAACATCTGCCTGAGGTCAGGAGGCTATTTGCCTGCCTTGTACAAAAGCTCCGGTGAAAACCGAGACGAATGTCTTTCCTTTCCCCGCCTCCCCCGAGACTCCCTCCTGGAGAACTCTTTGGTCAACGTGGCCAGGAGCTTGCCCTTATGTAAATTGGAGAAATACACACACCATATACACTATCCACAGCTGTAGCCACGTAGACTTGGTTAGAGAATACTATTTCCAAGGTAACGTTCAGCTCACCGAGGAGGCTGTGTTTGTATACACATCTGCATATACCCACACGGGGACATAAGCTGATTTTTTTTTTTTTACAGGACACAGAATTCTGTTCCATGCTGTTAAATACACCAATAGTTTAATCTCTTCTATTTTGTTGTTGCTTGTTGGAAGAAAATCATGACATTCCAAGTTGACTTTTTCTTTTTCTTTTTCATTTTAATTAAAGTTTGAGATTCTGAACACCCTCAGCATTCCTCTAACTGGGGTCACCTGACCTCTGCCCCTGTCCTTTTCTCCCTCTTCATGTTCAGGGCCTTCATTTAACTGCCTTACTGGCTGGGCTCCGGTGGGAGACGCGAGTTAGTGTGGGTCCGGGGCTGGGCTCGGGAGGGAAGGCTGCGGTGCCCTGCCAAGGCCAGATGGCCAGCTTCCCGGGGTTGGCTTGTCTTTCCCAGCTCACGGGTGGGTGAAGGCCACTTCCTGGGGGCCTCACCTCATGGGCTTAAATGGGTGGTCACTGGGGAAGCCTGACTCTGCCATCAGCTGTAGGGGGTTTTCTTTTGTTGTGTTTTTTGGAATAAAACTATAATATAAACTCTCCAGTTAAATAAAAGTATTTTAAATGTTAGTGCTGAGATGAGATGCGGAGAGCAGGCAATCATATATATTTCAGAATGGGGGGGCGGGTGGGAGGATGGTGATATGGAACATGACTGCTCTCCTTTTTCCAGATCATGGGTATTTATCCTCTATTAGTATCTGTATCTTCAGTTCATTCCGCTTTAGGAAACAGAGCTGCCCACTGACACAGGAGAACAAAAGGCAGGCGACACGTTGTGATGTCTCGCACGCACACGCAAATGCCCAGGCAGGGTGCTTGGCAGAACCCCGGGGGGGGGGGGGGCAGGGAGACAGTACAGGCACCTGGCTTCCTTAGGATCAAGTCCGTTACCTTGTACCTTTCACCTGCGGTCGTGACATTTGGCACGCAGGAAACAGAGGCTTTGCCGTCCCCAGGGGGCAGTGTGAGCAGAAGGAGCTTCGGTCAGCAGTCTTTTAAGGGGTGAGCCTCAGACTTGACGTTTTTTAAGATTTTTATTTCAGCCTCAAAGGCTTACAAGGTGGAACCCCTAATCCAACCTGTACAAGTTCCCCTACCCACCGGTGGACATCAGCCTCCCCTCCACGAGGCATCGGACCATTCTGGGTCCCTGGTGGGGTCCCTCCACTCACCCGGCAGGGACGTGGGGTGGGGCCTGGGCACGAGTCATCTGAGGTTTCCCTGCAGACAAGAGGGCAGAACCACAGGCCCATGTGCCAGGCCCCCGGTGAGGAGGACAGCAGGTCCTGGGCAAAGAAGGGTCCTTTGCAAAGCGATGTTGCCAGAGGGCGTCTGTGGAGCTTTCCATAAGCTATAGCTTTGTTTATTTCACCTGTTCACTGACTGTATAATTTAAAGTCATTTATGTAGCTGAGGCACTTCTGTATTTCAATCATATTGTGAACGTTTTATTTTGCTAAATCTTATCATGTGTAGGCTGTAATACGTGTACATTGTGTTTAAGAGAAAAAGAAATGAAACCCACATGCCACCATTTTCCCGAATCAAATTCTACAGTGGAACGGAGGGTAAATGCTTCTGTGGCGCAGGCGGCTGGACTGGCGAACCGGGGAAGCTAGAAGGAGCCGGCGCTGAGGCCCCTCCGGCCCCCTCTCGGTCAGCATCCGTGCTCTCTGGAGGAGGCAGGAGGCGGGGAAATGGCAAGTACATCCATGTCCTTGCTCTGTATCAACTGGCCCCAGGCAGTCTGCCGGCCATTCCCATTCCTCTCCTCCCCTAGTCCCTTTGCCAATTGGGAAGCCATGATTTCTCCTAAATCCCGGGCCATGACAGCTGTAATTCCAAGACCTCTTGGTGTCCCCTGGCCATCTCTCTGCCTCCCTCTCCAGGAAGTCCGCCAGGCTCTGCCTCTCTGTCCAATGCTCCCCCCGTGGCAAGGCAGGAAATACTGGGAGACTCCTCACCCAGCCCCAGACCCAAACGGCGGTCAGGCTACAGCCCACGAACACCATTTTTCATACCCTGGTTCCTGAGCAATTCAAGAAATAAACGGTTTATTTATAGGGGCAGCTCTGTCTCAGAGACACCGAGGGAGACCGTACCCTCCCCTGCCCCAGCCCGTCATCCTGGGTTTGACGATGGCCAATACGGATTCCCCCACGATGACACCCAAGTGCTTGGCTCCCGGCTGCCCAAAGTTAAAAAATATCACTAAAATAGTTTGGCACAAGGAAAATGCTTTGAAGATCTGATGGCAAAGGCAAAACAAAATGGGGACGGGCAGGAGAGGTAGATTTCAGCAGCCTCCCAAGTGGCTCTTGGGAGGCGTGAGGAGGGAGGAATGTAGAGACCGGGTCATGCTCCGAGGGGAGGGGCTGCGAGGCCCTCCACCCCCGCCTTCCCCCTCAGCCAGTCTGCTGTCCTGAGGCCCAGAAGTGATGGAGAGACACCAACCAGAGAAAACCCTGTCTGGAAGGAATGTATTTGTTGCTAAATTTTGTAGCACTGTTTACAGTTTTCCTCCATGTTATTTATGAATTTTATATTCCGTGAATGTATATTGTCTTGTAATGTTGCATAATGTTCACTTTTTATAGTGCGTCCTTGATTCTAAACAGTAAAGTGGTTTTATTTCTATCACACACCTGCCGTCTCTCGCCTCCTTGTGTCCTGACCGCCGTTGGGGAATGCAGATCACAGAGGGCCTTGGAAGCTGGTGGGTCCCGCCTGCCCTGGCCCCAGGCTCCAGGCCCCTGCACACTCCCCTCGCTCCACTCACCTCCACGGCGTGGACCTGCCCGCTCTGGTCCCTCCCTGGGCAGGGGGAATTTCAGGAGAGGCCTCTTAGATTTCCTCCTGGCTGCTCCTCCAGCCTCGCCCTTGCTCCCCGATTCTATGTCCATAGTTCTCCATCCTTCTACAGAATTGGGATCTTTACCTGGTTACCTGTTAGTGCTACAGGTACTACCAGATGGGAGCCCTGACTGTCTCCTTCCTCAGAATCTCAATCACATGGAAGTGGGGAGGGGAAGACTGCAAAGATGTCAAATGCCTGCCTGGAATTCTGAGTGTGGCATGAGTTCAATGCCAGGAACTCATGAGGCCTCACCGTAGACGGCAAAGCCTGCCCAGAGCTTAGAGCCGCCTGTCACCCCCAATGGATGCTGTAAACCCTTCACCCAATTGTCACCCCATTGCTGACAATGTCCCAGGGTAGAGCTTTGCATGTATTTTAAAGCGACACTACTTTGAACACCTATCGTACGCCAGGCACAGCACTCAACACACAGGGTTTCATTAAATCTCAACAACCCAGTGAGGTGGTTCCTCTATCACCGGTGGTTTTTAGCGATGGGAGCTCGGACTCACAGACATGAATTCATTGCCCAGGATCTAGTGAGCAGGCAGAGCGAGGAGTCACGCTCAGGCTGGTTTGACGATAAGCACTCCATTTCCCCACTGTGGTCACGCTTTGCTGGAATATGCCGGGTTCCACACGCCCTTCTTATTCCAACCAGCACATCCTGCATGCTAGGACTCTCACGGCATCGGATGCAAGTGAGAGATAATCAATGGCAGCCCTCTGCATCGACTGCTCCCACCTGGAGCCTGCAGTCCTACCCAACAGTGTCTCCAAATGGGATTGTCCCGCTCAGCAGCCTGAGCTTGGAAGTCCACAGAGGCCACCGTCCCCAGCTGGTCTCTGATACCCTATTAACTACCCTGTTCTCCAAGACTCCCGTGCTTCCCGAGGCGAGTGGAGCTACGGCCCTGGGTTCCTGTGACCAACCGCACAAGCAGGCATGTCTCGGGCCGTTTCCAGCTGCCCAGGACTCTCCCACCCAACTTGCTCCAGCCACGGGGTGGAGAGCGCTCCAGCCCATTTAAAACGACCGTGACCTCTGCCCTCGGGCTGTCCCAGTTATACTCCGACCACTTCCCAGAGACAACCGCAAGTGTATTCAAAAGATGGAATGTGAAGAGGACACACAAGGAAACTGCCCTTCAACAATCCATGCCAGTCAGATATTACCGCTTTTATTAACATAAGAAACCAAGTCCGGCGAAGGCGCAAACAACATAACATCCCGCCTCTGAAACATCGATCACCCTTATTATCAACCTTTGGCCCCCACATGCTCGTTCAAGTTGTCCCCTTGTGTGCCCCAAACCCCTGAAGTCCCAAGGAACTCTGCCCCCCTTGGTCATGCGTCCTGTGGCCTAAATCCCACCTGCGGAGGGGACTCTTCCCTTAGGACAGCCGGGCGTCCCGTAAGACATTGCGGTTCTTCCCGGGAGAGCCACCCCGGGCCCACCTCCTCCATCCAAATGGACGGAGAACACAGACACGTGTCACTCCAGATCACGCGAATAAGCAGCGTAGACAGGACACTCACCATTGGCTTATGGTTGGGGAAAAACGTCTGCTCCACAAGCGGGAACTTCTCAGGACCCAGGGAGTGGAAGATCTTAATGAGCTGAGAAAACTAGGGGAGAAGAGGAGAGAACATTGGTCAACACCTGTCATCCCGTATGACAGAGCCACCCCGTGACCCCAGGGCTCGAGCGTCTGACGGCTCTGAGCTGAGCTACAGTGGCTGCTCTCTGCCTACGGGGAAAAGGTCACAGGCCTTAGCTGGGCATCTGTTATCTCCTTCATCTGGCTGCATCAACCCCTTCATTCCTGCCAGGCACACCGCGTTCAGCTCAATACCTTGCAATACACATTTCCTATACCCTCAGCCTCTCACACAAGCATAACCTGCTGACATTCACGCCATGTCCCTTGCCTGCCGTGCCCTTCTTTCTAGGGAGGCACGTGGCATAGGAGTTCATGGCACAGACTCTGGGTTTAAACTCCTGCTCCTGCACTTCCGTTCTGGGTAATCTGGGAAAACCACATCAGGTGTCTGAATTTCTGTGTCCTTGTCTGTGGATGGAGAAAACGAGGGACCCAACCTCACAAGGGCCTTGCAAGGATTAAATGTGCAGGGTATTAAAGGGATTTAGGTGTAGTTGGGGGGGAGTGTTGGCGTGGTATTTTGGGGAAAGCCTCTCTTACAGGTAACATCTAAATGGAGACTCAACTACATCAAGTGAATGAATGAAACAAGTGAATAAAAGGTGGGGGAAATCAAGTCTTGGGGGTTGGAAAGAGGGCTCCCAAGTTCTGGCTTCACGCCTGGATTTGGGGAGTTCCTCAGCTGTTCTGAGCCACCTGCAGGTGATAATGATGGACCGAATGCCAGGCAGCACAATGTTCTGGTCCTTGCTCAGTGCTCAATAAACAGTGCCTACTGCTAACAACAGTGACATGACAGAATGTTAGTCAGAACAGGACGGTACTGCCTCTTACCACTATTATCATTATAAGACACCACTATATCATAATATGTGTTATATGATATTTGTTAGGCAATCATTACAAGAAGGGGACTGGGATCCAAGTTGCTTATTCAGCTGCCTTTTCATTCTGAGGTCTCCACGTTGGGGAATGGGCCCGTTTCAGGCCTGGGAGGGCCTCCCATCGCCCCCACCTCGCTCTGGGTTAGCCTAGCCGCCACCTACCACCCAGGGCTTGCTGCAGAAGTTGTAGACGGAGTAGAGGGAGTTGACAGCGGGCAGCCCTCCGTACTGCAGGCCGATGACCAGGCTGCGGTAGTCTTCGCCCAGGGCCATGCTGTAGGCGTGCTGGCGGACCAGGATGAAGTCTGGCTTGAAGGACCTGCGAGAGAGGGGCCGACAGCAGTGTTACTGCGCTGTGCACTGACGGAATGCCATGCATCGGCCACAGGCCGCTGGGAAAGCACTGAGCCGGTGTGGCCACTGCCCGGGAGCCCTCCGTTCACAATGGGGATGGGGTGGTGGGTGTGGATGCGGAGGGTCAGTTGCAAACACAACGTAAAATGACTGAAAACAACTTTCCTTTTCTTTCTGCTTCCCTTTCTTTTTATTTTTCATAATATTCTTTTTTTAAAAAATATCTTTTTATTGATTTCAGAGATGGAGAGAGAGAGAGATAGAAACATCAATGATGAGAGAAAAGCATTGATTGGCTGCCTCCTGCACGCTCCACACTGGGGATCGAGCCTGCAACCCAGGCATGTGCCTGGACTGGGAATCGAACCCTGGCCTCCAGGCTCATAGGTCGACACTCAACCACTGAGCCAACCAGCAGGGCTCTTCTTCCCTTTCAAGGAAGCCGCAAGGGCGCTGATGTGATGGCCGGGTCCATGCTCAGGTTCCTCTGCAGACACCATCCCGATTAGCCCTCACAGCGACCTGGTTAAGGCCGGGACTATGTATGTCCCCATTTTACAGACGGGAACACCGCAACTCAGAGAAGTTATGAATCTCCGCAGGTTACAAAGCCAAGAAGCAGGAGAGCTGTGTTTGAACCCGGGCCTTCTGGTCCCGAGTCCATTGCACGGCACCAGGGGACTGACACGCTGTTGGACTCACGCTGCCCAGGACCCATCTGGTCCTGGATTCCTCACCTCACAGTCACAGGAGAAAATCGGCCTCACGCAGGGGTTTTACTCACACGGCGTGACCTGCTGAGCACATCCAGAGCCAGACACTCGTCTACGGCCACACCACCCTGAACGCACCCGATCTCGTCAGAGTCAGACACTCAGCTTCAAATAAACGGTGTCTCTTTAGAATAATCAAAGGTAATGACAATGCCTCTACAGGGAAAGGCCTGCCTACGCTGGAGCCAGAGGGAAGGACGGGCTTCGGGTGCTGGGCCTCACCGCACACCCAGGGCCTGGCACCGGAAACGGGCGTAATGAGCACATGTTGGAGGAATGAACCATGTGCAGGAACATCACCTGCTCACCCCAAAGGAAATGGCCAGGTCTCCTGGCTAAGTCGGAACTCGCCCCCAGGCGGCCACGTGGTCTGTGACACCATGGGTATGGCTGACACAGTGCTCATGGCCATGGTCAATCATGTCACTCTGTGGTTAGGGTTAGGGTGGGTGTGAAGCCTGGAATAATTACGCTGACGTCCTTATTGCATTCTTAGAACGGACCAGTCCAACCAGCGTAGTTTACAAATGGGGAAACCGAGGCCTGTAGCAAGGCAGTGGTGTGCCCCAGGGCACCAGGCAAAGCCATTGTGGAGCTTCCTGCCTCCTGTGCCCACTCCGCTGGGAGGAAGGGGGGCAGGTGTGTGTCTCTAGCAGGGATCTGGTGACACAAGGAGCACTGATAAAAACATAAACACTTTCTGCCTTTATCTGACTTTTACTGGAATATACATGTTCATTTGGCAAAAGGGAGAAAAAAAGACTTGGACAACACAAAGAAATAAATAAAATCGCCTGTAATTCTCAACTCAGAGACAATCCCTAATGATCTTTCTACTTGTTTCTTTAAATGTCCATTACAATCCAATTGTGTATTTTAATGTATATAATATGCATTCATACTCATAATGGATTTCGTGCTTTCTATTACTATTTTGCTACTTTCCACATAATATTATAGTGTGAACACCTCCCCTACTCTTGAAGTATCTTCAAAACTATCATTTCTACTGGCTACCTAGTAGTCCACTAAATGAATCCTATATAATAAAAGGCTAATATCCTATATAATAAAAGGCTAATATGCAAATAGCCCGAACTGTGGAACAACTGGAGCAACCGGTCACTATGATGTGTGCTGACCACCAGGGGGTGTGTGTGGAACATGGTGGTTGTTGGCCACACAGGATGGTGGAGCAGGTGAGCAGGGGCACCAGACCAAGGCAGGGTGCTGGTCACTGTCATCAGGGCAAGCCTCTGGTGGTTACTGAAAATTCTTTGCTCCTGTGCGCCACGGTCCTGCCCAGCGCTCGCACCCGCTGCCAGCGCCAGAGCCACCGCTCACACCTACTGCCAGTGCCGACCCCACTTGCACCTGAAGTCGGCACTGGAGCCACTGCTCACACCCACTGCTGGTGCCCAGCACTGGTCCTGAATTGGTACCATCAGCAGGTGTGAGCAGCGGCTGCCGGCCCTGATTGCCCCTGCGGGCTTCTTCACCTCCCCCTGCTCCTGAGGGGTGACTGGAGCAGCAGCCACCGCTCGCACCTGCTTAGAGTACCAGCTCCATTCGCACCCACTGCTGGCGCTGGCCCCAATCGCTTCACACCATCAGTGGGTGGGAGTGGGGCCAGTGCCATCAGCGCGTGGGAGCCATGGCGACAGGAGAGGGGCTGCTGGGAGACAGGGGGCTGGGGGCCACAACCGGAGGGGCTGGGTGGGGGTGTGGAGGATGGACCAAGACCCGCCCCTGTGCCTACTGCAGCCTCATGGCCCACAGTTCCTTTCAAGGTGCACGAATTTGTGCACTGGGCCCCTAGCATATCATAATTAAATCAACCAATCATCTACTCTCATCAAATAGGCTATTTCCAATATTTCACACACATTTATCTTTGCACAAAAATCACTGCCTAATTTTAAAACTATCTCCTTAAAATAGATTTAAGAAGTGGGATTACTGGGTTAAAGGGTATAAACTTTTTAAAATGTAATCAAAAAAGTATGTCTTTTAAAATTTTTTTAAATTGATTTTAGAGAGAGAGGAAGGGGGAGGGAGGAAGGGAGAGAGGGAGAGAGAGAGAGAGATGTGAGAAACATTGATCAGTTGGCTCCTGCACGTGCCCCAACTGGGAATCGAAACTGCAACCTGGGTATGTGCCCTGCCCGTGAATTGAACCTGCAACCTTTTGGTGGCGAGTGACACCAGATGCTGTCGAGAGGCCCGTGGGGCCCACCAGCAGCCGCACATCGTGGCGACTGTGGGAAAGGGGCCTGGCGGGTTTATGAACAGCTGGGCTCTCTGATGAATCCTGGCCTCTCTGTAAAGTTTATAATACAGGAACATGAGCTGCGGGAGGAAGTAGCCTTCTTCACCTCCTTTCTCAGTCTCAGAATCTGTCTGTTTATCCTGCTCTCTGGCTTCCCTTTCGTTCCTGAGACGGTGTCCATGCCGCTCCACCCTACTCCCCCGTCCCCCTGGTGAACCCATACATTATGGGTTGAAGTGTGTCCCCCACAAAGACACGTTGAAGTCCTCAGCCCTGTTACCTGCGCGTGTGACCTTAAGGAAATAGTGTCTGCAGATTTAATCAAGTGAAGACGAGGCGATGCTGGAGTGGAGGGGCCTCACCCGACGCCTGGGAGTTTACGGGAAGTGTAAATGCAGACACAGACACGGAGAGCAAGAGGAGGGCTGCACGCAACGAAGGAGGTAAAGATCGGAGGGACGTGTCTACACGAAAGGAGCACCAAGGATGGCTGGCATCCAGGAGGAGCCGGGAGGAGGCAAGAAAGGACCCTCCCCAGGTCCTGGGAGGGAGCCTGGCCCTGACACACGTGATCGCAGATCCCGGACTCCGAACTACACGAGAATCCATCCCTGTCGTGTAAGCCGCCCCGCTTGGGGCACTTCATGACAGCAGCCTCAGGAAACACAGACATAGCCCACCCCCAATGCTTCCTCTTTCTAGCAGCTTCCAGACGTTCTGGTTCCTTTGCTGGTGTGTGTATCCTTCCACAGCCCCTTCCAACTTCCCAAACAGCCAGCCCAACCCCCACAACAAGGAAACCTGCGCTTCGAGGTGGAAAAGGAATCGACCATTAAGCGATGGTCATGTTTACACTTTAAAATGTTAACGAGTCAACGCGCTGATCAACACATGAAGGTTTGTCTGGAAGGATGTTCACCAAGGGCTCAGCTGGCTGCTCTGAAGGGTGGGTGGGACATGGGGTTACTGCGTTCTCCTGCAGGCTCGGTGGCACTGACTGCGTTTTAAAACATAAAAATAAAAAGAGCATGGAACGTTTTTACAACCAGGAAAAAACAATGAGGTTATCTTCATTTTTTGGGGGAAAAATGATCAATGTGACAATGATGTAACGCCTCGGAAAATGCCGACGGGACAATTTCATGTGACATAAAACAAGAGGAAAGAGACACTGTGTGACTAGAACGCCGTGAACACGATGGTCCTGGCAGGCAAGATGGAAAATGGCTACGTGCTAAGGTGGTGAGGCTGCAGGCGAGCTCTGTCACTTTGAAATTTTCCATTTTCGTGACACTGTGGTTGGGGCATTCATCAGAACTTGTGGCTAGCGTCAATCCGTAAGTGAACTGTGAAGCAAGTCCCCTCCACTCAGCCGGGCAGCCATAACCAGCCAGTCCTCCTCTTCCCTCCATGGCTACACTTTGGACAAGGCAATCCACCCCTGCCAGCCCCGACTCCCATGCACCCATCGCCACAGTCCTCGCCTCTGGCTGCCAGGCCCCTTTCTACCCCAATGAAACCGCCCCTCAGTGCCAAACTCCAAGGTCAGGTGGCTTCTGCCGTGCCCTCACTCCTGACCTCTAGGAATAGCTAATGCACCGTGAGCCTCTATTCTAGGCCCTGTGTGTATCTTCACTCCGGGAAGCCTGACAACCATCCCCGGAAGCTGCTGGTATCATCCCCATTTTCCAGATGAGGAAACGGAGGCACAGAGCGGTGAAGGAACTTGCCAAGGTCACGCACCTGCTGGTGGTGGGACCTCAGTCAAACCCCGAAGCCTGGCGGCTCTGGAGAAGGGGTTCCCGGTCTCCGCATTATCGATGTGTTGGAGCTGGATAGTTCTTTGTTGTCGGGGGACAGCGTGGTGGGGGGTTGGGGTGTCCTGTGCATTGCAGGACATTAGGAACATCTCTGGCCTCTACCCACTAGACACAATAGCACCC